TCTGTTTATAATGTTTTTTGTAATGTGCAAAGCAATTTTATACTGTTCATTTTTCTTTGAACACTGCACAGTGCCTACTCAGTTTCCCTTTTCAATACACTATGACTAATCCTATTAATTTACCTTGTGTGTAGAGTGCTGTAGCTACTACTGGCATCAAGCCACACTGTTATGTTTTAAATTGATGACGCAAGGGCTGGAAGAATACACTGATTGATTGGGCTAGGAGTTTGACATGTATGTGCTAGTTCCTCTAAACACCTCATTACCTTCATAGGAACATGTTGCATGCACACTTTTTTCTTTAAAGCATTTAGGTAGTTGAAATATCAAATTTTGCTGCTAGAAATATTGAAGGTCCAGTTTTCTACTGGGTGTTCAGATGGAAAAAGACCCTTTTTCCTAGAGAAGAATGACTTGGAGATTGAAGTGTTGTTGTGGGACTTTAAAATCGTTTCTCTGTTTCCTGGTCTGTCATGGGCCTCCTGTGTGACTCAAGTTATGGACATAGGAACAGTTTGCCTTGGGGTAAAAGAATGGGACTTGGCTGTCTGTCATCTCTTCTATGGTAACTGCCTGTGGGCTTGCTCTGATCACATGGTAAGTGGAAGCTCCTCTGTTAATTTCTACTTTACCACAGAGTAAATACATGCCCATAGAAATAACTGTAGAGCAGAGGTTCTCAACTGGGGATCCATGACCAGATTTCAAGGGGACTGTGTATTTGGCACATTTATGATCTCTGAGGCCAGCTGGGGCAGCCCATGTCTGGGCTGAGCCTCCTGCTGCTGCCAGGTTCATGGAAAGAAGAAAAATGTTGGAAACCATGCATTTCCCCTTGCAGGCTGACAGTGTTCCAGCCTGCAAGGGGCTGCTTGGAACTGGGGAGAGCAGAAAGAGGCCAGTCTGGCAGGGGGACCACATGTATGTGTGTGCATGTGCACACATGCACATGGCAGCTAGGCAGTGGTGGGGAGCAGTTTCCATAGCTCACTGCAGGTAAGTTGGGGGCGGGCATAGGTGGTGGGGAGGACACATTCCTTCCCCCTGCTTTCTTACAGTTTGCTGTGCCTCCTTCATCCCATACCTCTCTCTCTGCTGTGGGTTGAAAAGTGAGGGGCACTGGCAGAGCCAGGGGGGTGGGGGTTGGGAGTGGGGGGGGGGGGGGGAAAGTTAAAA